TGTACCTGTCAATCAAAGGAGAGAAAAACGACTTTTAAGCGGTGTGAATTTATTATATTACTAGATGGTAATGCTTTTGTCCCACGAGAGCCCCTTCACGGGTCGAAATATTTTGATCGCATGAGTTATGAGGACAGGAAGTTCGTCCATACATAAATGATATAATTACCTATTTGATCACACAAAAATGCCCACTTCTTTCCCAACCTCTCCTGTATAACCGGCTCAGTTGAAGTCTCGCTTATTAATGAAACAGTTACTAAAGGCGGATCCTTAGTACAAGTTTAAGTATATAGGAAAACAGTAAGAAATGCACCCATTGACCTCACCTCGTAATCATGTGACAGTCCCTTCAGTACCCGCAGAAATTTCCGACAGACAATGTCTTTTTGGTTGGTTATATGGTATAAATACTTAGGGAGCCACCGGTTTTCTTCCAATTCAGTGAACTCTTGTCGTCAATTAAGTTGAAATGTCCGGTCCGTCCAACTTTAGAACAACAAATCAAAAACAACACTGTTACTACTCTTCTTTTGTACGTCGGCTTGCTACCTGACACTCTCGAATAAAATCAAAAGACAACAATCTTCAAACTCAAATTATTTTTCTTACCTTGGTATTACTCGTACAGCTGAAAGAACCCAAAGATTTCCTATTTACAGACGAAAATTACTACTTCTACCGAATTAGATATTCTCTTTTAACAGCTGAGCCTTAATCTATCGCAATTTCCCATCGTTCAATTGGCTGGTTCATTGTCAATCACTTAACCACATTAAACTAAATAAATGACTAACATACATTTCTTTTGATATAAAAGAACCAACCAAGAAAACTTAAACAAGAGCAAAATAGATCCAACGTGGGGAAAGAAAAGCAGTGCTAGGCATTTGATGCTAGATTATAGAGTTGATACAATAAATTGCTTTCCAAACACAAATATGTTGGCCCGGGTTTCTTGACGAGTGAGCAGACAGAGGCAGCGCTTGTAAGGGTTTGTTTGGTTTGAATTCAAAGGTGAATTATCATTTTGTATGGATCAGTACATATGTAGTTTTCCGACACAGGTGGCCATCTGACTTCCAGTTGAAAACATCGGGGTGATATTCATCGTGCCGTGTTGTGCTTTATGGGTTTTGAAAGTTCGCAATTGGAGCCAAATTAGGACCGGGTGTTCGTAACCTCCCATAAATTTTACAACACAAAACCCCAGGTGTAGAGACCCACCTTTCTGTTCAGAAAACATGGCGCTTTTTAAGTGGGTGTTTTGTTTCTCTTCTTTATTTTCTTTTAAAAATCGCAAGGGAGAAAAGAGTTTATTGCTTTGCGCACACCCTTAAACTGGCAAACGCCCCGCGAGCACGTGCAGGCATTCAAACTTTAAGTGATCGCAAGATTTCATTTGAAAGACGCATAATGTCTACCCGGCAGTTCCAGCACAATAAAAGGGCGACATATTCATTATACACAATGTGAAACCGTAAATTACGCACGCGGTTTCATGGTCCTTTAAATCCCTTGTGAAATTAAGACAAAATTAACTAAAAAGTATAGACAATCGAAAATTGTGTACACGAATTTGTTTGCATTGATCACAAAATCGATCTCTAATGGACCAATTAATAATATTATTAAGATATCTCAGGGGGCGAGGTCGAATTAATCATGCTTAGCGTTAAAACTCAATTTTGTTCTTCAGATGTGGGTTCGGTAATTATGAGGCATAGAGTGCAAACCCAAAATCGCTATCACAAACAAACTTTGCCCGTCCTTAGTGAATACATAAGTTTCCCGAGGCAGGGACTGGCTTAACGATGTTATGCTAACTTACAGAAGAAAATGGTCACAAAAATAAAATCCACCTTTTGTACAAGGTGTAATGTCATGTTGATCAATTTAGTTGGCGATAGACTAAGAGTTAAGAGACGCCAGCAATGAATTGGTGCGACCATTTTAACCCTGACATCGTTTGGTGGTCGAAAGTAATGTAGCGGAATCAAGATACAAGGAAACTACTAAGTGGACAAGCTGAGGCAAATCTCGTGTTCATCGGCCATTCAATTGTCCGAATAAAACGGATATTCTGGTTGTATCAGTACATGCCATCCGTGAATGATATTAGAGTATACTTCCCGAACATCAAGTTAAATGGGACCATTGACCCGTCTATCAGAATGTCTTTTATTACAGTTGTGCAAACGACGCCGAAAAAAAGGGGGGGAAGCAAAATTTCTGCCGATAGAGGTCGTGATAAGCGGATGACGTACGGTGCGCACTGCAGCGTTTACGCAACGCGTCATTAACCAAAGAACACAGAGCCAAAAAATACGCTCCTGCTTTAACAAATACGTTGGAAAACGGCATTTTGATTTGCTTTTAAATGCGACTTTAATGAAATCAGCCTACAGTCTATGGGCCACGGTGCCAGCAATTAATCTAAAACTCAAATGACAGGCAACTAGACAGGGGAATGACAGGACTGTCATAATCGACGTTATTAATGCAGACTGTGAGAGGTCGTTTTGCTCTTGTCACGACACTTTACAGGCACATGATGAGCGTTGGATCTAGTAAAATTTGATTTTCCCGAAAATTTCAACACTTTTCCATTAAGGTATACCATATTTGAAGCAGTTGAAAAAATGATCATCTACAAACCGTCTTTTGGTTCCAGGTTTCTAGTTTTTGAGCCGCTTTCGTAATGAAGAAAAAGACTGGCGAGGCTTTGAAAGCTAAAAAAATATATAAATTTACTCGAAAACAGGTTTGAGGTCGCAATTTTCTCAGCGGTTTTGAATATAGTAAAAATTGGTGTTAAAGCAAAAAAAAAAAAAAAAATTCCAAGCATTTTTGCTACGTATGTAAAGTTTTAAAGCACACTGAATGTTGCATGTCTTTATAGTAGGCCTACCCCGCTCATTGTTATATTATTCATGGCGATTACCAGGCTCAATCCTCCTTCGAAGTTTATGTTAGAAGACTTTTTTACAGTCTGTAAATGAAAAAAATCCTGATGGTTATCATAGATGCCCTATGCTTAAACATCTAACGCCTTTTTTGTAGCACAATAAGTCTAAACGGACAAACAAGTAATAATAAAAACACAAAGTATCGTCAAGAAATATTATATGCAAATGATGTGATTTAGAGAAATTCCATATGTGTTTTTTATGCCAGCGAGCAAAGACAAAGTATTTTTGTAATTCAAATATTTTTCTTTGGGGTATCACAAGTGTGAGCTCTACATGGATACCAACACAACAACGGCCTCTAACACCCGTGGCCTTTGTAAAGCCAGGAATGTTTTCTCAAGTTCTCGTGAATTTATGTAAGGAAATGATCGAATTACGTAGTTTTCAACAAACACTTTCCAGACTTTCAGAAAACTGCATTCGTTTTTCAGAATTTTTACCTTGTCCCTCGGGCAAAGGTCATGGCGTTTTATGAATAGCTGAAAAAACTTCAAAAACTCAAAAAAATTTTAAAAAATGACCATAGGGTTAACCATAATACAATTGCTCTTCTGTACCAGAGTGCAATATTAAGAAAAAAAGTGCAGCCATGGGAAATACGCTATACCATTAGCTCTCCTAAATTACAACGCAAACTTGAATAAGTGCTTGGCAAAGATAACGCCAGTTGACAAAACAGCATCGTACTAATATGTAACAAGGCAACAAGTTGGGCCAAATTGTGGGTCTCTCGAAGCGTATGGTACAGTCAATAAAAACTTTTGACACTACAATGAACCGGGTTAAAATGCTTCGGAGAAGACGCAAATTTTTCTCTCGCCTCACTTGTTTGCTTTCCGCGGCGGAACATGTCCGGAAGAACTCTAGTAAAATAACAACACGCCCTCTCCTCACATCATTTAGCGTCGTAACTTTGATTAATGGCATCCCAAACCAAAGGTTACCGTATTCAATGTGGCTGATCTGTGCTGGGATATTAGTTTACGTTTCACCTATACAAAACAACACCTAATCTTCGTCTATCTGAAATTGTAATGATTCTTAATAGTTTTCTTGTGTTGTTCCGCTATTGTGCGAAACGCGGATCGCACCGGGTTTTTTCTTCGCATATTTGGATCCCTGATGCTTTTCGCTCACCTGTAGAGTCTAATAACGGTTGTTGCATGTAAGTTATCTTCCACCACACGCACTCATACGGGCGACACAGACGCTGACTGCGTAGCGTGACCGGACAACAAGTAACGTTTAGTCCCCATCTAAAACATCAAAGCGCCGGGCTAAGGTTTCAATTTGTAAGCTAATGTAACCGAGCCGTATAATTTTTCAGATGTTGTAAAATGTGTTTTCAGACGAAGATAGACCTTTTTAGTGGTATTCGAAACGTTTTTCGTTGTTTGTCGCGACAGTTGAGACAAACCAAGGTTGAGCGAGGGACAGGGTTCGTCACATGAGACCAGCGGCAGAACGGAGATAGGACATGCGCGTGTGCCAAAAACGGGTAAACTAACCACTAAACGATTGCAAGATCCCCTATCTTCTTTTAGCAACAAAACAAAACAAAAATGTTTCAATAAACACCGCCCAAAGTCAAATAACCAACGCAGATCCAGCCCACTCCTCGAATGTTTGAGATCGAAACAAAAACAAAAATGCTGTTTGTTGGTTCTCTAAGGTTACAGATATGAGGCCATTCGAATCCGGTGTCTGTTCTTAATTCTGGGGACATACTTTGCAGACTGACGCATTAGATTGAAGCATGAATCTAATTAAAGAAAATATGTCACTTAAAAACCTCAAAGAAAAGTTTTGGGTTAATCTACATATGGATCAATAAACATCTTTCATTGACAAATTAAATAAATGCCATTGCGGTAGAATAATATAAGACACACTAAATAACCAATTTGTCAATAAAGTCATTCTGGTTTGCCGGAAGAAAAATAAACTTTTCACATAATTTTATCAAAGGAAATAAGAGAAAGAAAAATTCATCCTTTGTCTTCTGTGTAGCAGGTAAAGTGCACATACCTTGGTTCACGGAATTTCACTAGTACAAATTCTTGCGGGAATGTCTTTGGAGCTCAGATTCCAAATCGGAGTTTCATTACTAATTGTCTGAGGCAGGGAGATATGGCAGGGCCGTTGCGAAGATTTACAGTTATCTCCAGACGTTTTACAAACCGTGCTTTGATATCCAAGAGAAGAGCACCTGGATTAAAACGCGGGTGTAATTAGAAGCCAATTAATATCCTGATTCTTAGTGCCCCGTCTCCCAGTGTCCACTGCAGTTCTTTAGAACTCGGTAATAAAAACAGTCAATGAAAAATAACAGTGCCAGACCCTCGGGCTCCAAGGCCGACTGTCTTTCCCTGAAACAACACACTTCAACTATTCCACAGTGTAAACTGCTACCTCAGGAAGGAATTTCTTTGGAAAAACACATAAAACGGCATGCTGACGCAGAAAAATAAATGTATCGGAGACAGAGTAAATTCTCTGCAACTGATTCAACCTGTCTCGAAGTTTTGTTTCCATTATCTGCTGCGGAAGGTCGGGAAAGGGGGTCAGATGTTTGGTAAATGAACACCACCTTTTCGTCCTGGATTATGAAGACTCTTTCTTTGCCTGTTTGGTTAAGGAAGTTTTTTCCTTTAACCAGCATCCGTGGAGCAAAATAGCTAAATGAAGTAAATGGATACAAGACATGTTAGTCTTTAACTACCCTGAACCTATGCACGCACACGCCTGGGTCGTTATTGTAGAGGATAGAATAAATGAGGAGGCATTTGTGAGTTGTTTAGGTAATAATCTTTTAGACAGCAAATGGTTGAAAACTGGCATGTTTTCTGCTCCAGCGACAAAAGTGACGCTGAGACGAGAAAGCACAGCTCTGTGTACCTGTTTAACATTTTCCTGAAGCGTTTCGGGGTCCGGTCATGTTTGCAGGTCACTGCGGGTCTTCTTGTTACGCAGAAATTAAATATTCCTAATCCTAAGTAAACGCCAATAGACAGATCCCCATTCACGCAAGGACGTGCTTTTTCAACATAATTGCTTCTTGCATGTTCTGGCAAGACGAGTAGGGGGCTTGTATATAAGGAATGTTAAAGAAACGTCACATGAGAATTATAGTTTTTTGAAGGGATAATCAACAGTCAACGATTTAATCTGAAGCCAAGGGAGGAGTCGCCGATACCCTAAGCCCACATAAGCGCCTTCCACTAGTGTAAAGAGATCCGACTTTCTCTTGGGATATTTACCCTCTCAAAGCTTGATCCGACGAAAACGCACCGTTTGTGTGCGTTTTGTACCGTCAAGTGGGGAGACGAGCGGTTTGTCAAGATTCTTCACGTGCGCCGTTCCAAGTGTATTCAATGGGAAAAAATGGGTCATAATTGTTCATTTCCTACTCTTGAGTCACGATGGTTTGTTTTCTATAAATGGAAAACACGGACTTCAAGAGGCCTTTAAACAGCTTATCAGAATTGAATACGAAAGAAATAAACGAAATTAAAACTCATCTAAGGGGCCTTGAATTTTCAAGATACTTGTGAAGACTCCCTATAAAATCTTGTCCCTTTTCAAGTTTGAAAGTGTCGAATGTGGTGTCGTGGGAAGTGAAAACACACCCCGCAGGTGTGCAGCGTGAGGTCCACTAATTTGGCGTAATAAAGATCTCCTCAGCTTAATATAAGTCCATTTACAGTGGTAATGGTGATGTGATTGCTATGTTATTTCCTAATAACTGTAAAGGTGCGTATTTAGTGAATTGGAGAGCTTGCTCAAACTCGACACCCAGACAATTTTCAAAAACTTGTGTAATTTTCAGCACTGTTGATAATGAAGTAATAATAGCGGACCCCATGTGATCGATCCGTTTTTCCCCTCAAGTGAAGATTCATTTAGGCAATGCAAGAAGTCAATTATGCAAGACGCGGTTAAATAGCCTAAAATTTAACACATTTTTCTACTTGGCAATGTTGTGCTTTCAAACTCAATCTAAGAAAACCGTACACTTTCTGCAAATAATGTTTTAACTATTGATTCCAAAAGACATGAATACCCTTACGTCACAGGTGAAAAGCGCATTCTCGATTTGTTCACTCGTTTCCCTACATTAATAGCAGTTATCCAACAGAAGGGCGGCGATATATTTCTCAGGTTCACGTCTAAAGTGCCTGTAAAGAAAGCACCCAGACCAATAGCTTCAAGGGGTTTAAATGGTGAACATGAAACACACGGCTGAAGGGGAAACATCATGTTATTCGAAATTCAACATTAGTGGTACAGCTAGGTGTCTCGTATTCACTTCAGGCACCTCAACTGCATTAACAGAACAGCCCTTCTCATAGCAAGAGGGACTTGTTCTTGCATATTTTAATCGTGTACTCAACAAGCAGCTGTCCTGCAAACACTTGCCTTGAGATTAGGAATGGGGAAAAGTTCGCGAAGCCGCTGATAAAAATCAATTGTGTCCGAATTAGCCATCGCACCTGCCCGCTGATATAGCCGCTGTCGGCCCCTAAGATACAAGCTTATTGTACACTGTGATATCTCTATTTTAGGGTCCATTTCTATGTCAATAAACTAGCTCTTCACGCCAATGTAAACTCCTGTTTGAACACTGATATTTGTGTGCAATACTTAATTGAGATGCAATAATAGATGCGTAATTTTAGGTACGCTGCTTGTTTTAGCAGTAAGCCGTTAATGATCCATCAGATTGCTCTCATTACATGGCGTCCTGAATTTGTATCATGTTACAATCGATTCCTAATATTCTCCATGATGAAAACTGAAAGTTAAATGCAGCATAATTCTCTCGAATTTCCATGTATTAAGTGGCTCCAATTAATTAATGGGAGTCGTCCTTGGTGCAGTATGCTTGTTGAAATATTTCAGATTACACTCTTGAATATAAATCGTGAACCACTCTTTGATCTTCATTAATTCAACAGTCGAAATGAGCAAAGCTTTTGCACGCCACAAAAGTCGAAAGCAGAGGGTAATTCATTTATTCAAGTTAGTGCCATTATGCTTGTCTTGTTAGTCACTTTTCCAATGTGTCCATATTTGTTGTTCGTGACTGATAATACTAGGGGGTTACACCATATTACGGTGCTGTAGTGATCGTTATGTAAGGTTCTAAAGGGTGCTAAAAGGCATCAAAGTCACCTCAGAAAATTGTATTGTTCTGTTAAATTTTCCTTTATATAATTCCCTCCAGCGGATACTTCAATGAAGTAGATTTAAAATAATATCTCAGCTTGCTTCGAGACAGCCTTCATTTCCCAACAGTGTCAACAGAGATATACATTAGAGCCGGGCAATAAACGTCACCCGTTCAATCACATGGGTGGAAATAACGGTGATAAAAATAAGACACGGTGAAAGCTAAACTGGGACATGGCCATTAAGTTTGATACAAAAACATCATTAGAATTATATTAAATAAGTTGGATTCGTCCCTCGACAGATTTGGCCGGCGTTAACTGATCTTGGTCACAGTTGTCCGAAAATTCCAGTTACGAAATTCATATTTGGGGAATTGTTATTATAATCATGAATATACCAGTTTAAGTAACTTATTTTCTGTGAATAATAAATTACTATTTGGATAATTGTCAGGACAGTAAGCTCCGATTTAGTTTAACACAAAACGGTGAGAGTACTATGGAAAAATCACCATTCTTGCCATGGTGAAAACGGCAAAACTTGCTGTTGCTACACGGTGAAAAATATACTACACGTTGTTCAGCAACATTAAAAATCATTTCACAAATATTCAGTACAAGCAAAATACAAACCGTAAAGAACACATTCACACCACAAACAATGAATCTCGGTTGTGTCGTGTGTGCCTCAGGAAAAAAAGTTGTCAGAAAAACGTCCCACCTACCTGTTAATTTATCGTGGATTATTTCTTTACAGGTAGTCCCTTTTTAAGTGGCCCAAAAGCGTTCCGTTTAAGTGGTTGTCTCTTGACTAGCCGCTGGAAGTTGTCTATCCAGTGAAATGACTGTCTCGTTAGTTTTATCACAGTTTATCCGCCAGGTAAGATAACCCTCGCAGTCGTCTCACCTGCGCGTCCAGCTGAGTGGCAACAGTTTATTTGAGAGGCTGTCCTAAACACGTCACGTGACACAGAGCCTCGCCGTAATTTCCTATCTTAATGCAGCGGCACGTCTACTATGAACCCTCCTTAGCCTCAGTTAAAGAGATATCAGCGGTAGGAGGGACGAGTTTGAAAGCATACCTTAAGAAAAAGTTTCATCATCAATGATGGCAACTAAGACATTTAAACGCTTCTTATTCACGAAGAAAAACGCTTCCCAACTGATTAAACCCGTCTTCCCCCGAGTCCCTGGATTGAGGACTGTGCTTAATTTTATGTACTCTCTCCCCAGGTTACTCAAGGAATTTTGGCCGCGCTATAATACTGTTTTTATTCAACCTCCGTGCCATTTAAAATATGTAAACAATAAAAACCCTTTGCTTCTGAATGCCAGCAAAACAAAGCGGAAACAAATGGCTAAATCTCCCAAATCCTGCTCGGAATCACAGAACATGCTACAGGTATGAAGAAAGAGTGGCCTATGTCCTGCAAATTCAACCTTAAGTCGCTAACTCAATCAGAGACAATTTATTTGTGTAACGACCGATGATTAAGGTTAAAATGACTAGCCCAGTTACTCGCCCCCTCTATAAGAATGGCGGTATAAGGGAACAGATAGGGGAAATGCAAAAATTGCGTTCTCTTCGGAATTTAATTAATGAATTTATCAGATGCTGAGTCACAGTTCTGAAGAACGAAAGGTTGTGTAGCAACACAGAGAAAAAAGCAAACACTTTTAACATTTAAAATTCGACTTAAAATATTAGTGATTTCCTTCAATTCTGAGTCTGCTTGTTTGAATGCCTACATATCTAGGATAAACGAAAATGCATGAGAATACATTTAAATATTTCGTCGTTGATAATTTTGAAAGTTTTTTTATGTGTTTGAAGTAAATAATCTTAAGAATTGATGAAAGATGCCCTTGCGCATGGACACACGGTGACACACAGTGAAAAATCTGTTGACATGTCGTACCGGTCATGTTTTACCAATGTTTGGCCGCTCTTCAAGCCGTGTCAACTTTACCTTCGACATGGTCGCGACAGATTGGATGGAGACAAGAAACGAACAACACAGGAAAAAACAACTGTGGGCATAAATGCAAATGTTAATCCTAAAGCAATCAGGACTCACTCAATATCAAACAAAGTCTTTGAAGGAGATTTATGCGGTAAATTAGCTGAGCCAACCTTACAAATGATTGGCACTTTCTTGATATGCCGGAAATATTTGAGCAGATATTCTTTGAATATTGCACGTTTGACCAACTGCTTCACATACTGAATATCGCAATGTTACTTAAGTATTTCGCTGAGCTACAAAGAGTAAACAGGACCACTTCGCACATATTATTGCAGCTTTAGAGTACTTCTATTGTGTAACTGAGAAATAGTTTGGTCAGTTTTCCTGTATTTGTTCCGAACTTCGATTTGATTTGAGATGATGAAACGCTAAAACGAGAGAGAGAGAGAGAGAGAGAGAGAGAGAGAGAGAGATGTATATTATAGAGAACGTAAAACCATCATATAACAGATGAATTACGATTATTGTTACAAAACGTGCCAACAGTTTGTGTCGACGACTGCGTATCTGTCAATTAGTTGCAACGTTTCCCGTTCCAACGTGAACAAAAACACCTTTCCGACCGTCTCGAACAAATTGGCTGCCGACTGTTTGACGTAAGTACAAAATACATTCCATCCTCCCTACTTTGAACTGTTATCATAAGCAACGGCACGATTTATGTAGAATATTTTACGTTTCATCATACCAGAAGGAACATCACTGTATCACTTGCATTCCAAGAAACTAAGTTGATAAGTGTACAAAAAGGATAAAAAAACGATACTTGGACCTTGCGCCCATGTGGGAAAAGAATGTTTATTTTGCAAGATGTAAGTTTATTCGAAACATTCTAAAGCAGACAAACAATTCCAAGAACAATAAAAGCAAAAAATGGCAAACAGACCGAGGAATTCACCACTTGATTTTATGTATACTTTCATTGAAAGTGCAGTGTCTTCCGAGAACCACCCCGAGTTTCAGAGGACGCTGGAAACTCATGTCCCATCAGCATGACGCCGGGGTGCCCTCTCAGTGTCCCTTGCAACTCAGGGTGCTAAGAATCTAAGGTGGACATATTTAATATTGCCATTTGTTATAAAGATCGGACATGGACTTTGCCGTAATATGTAAAGTGGTAGTATCCCGGGAGATGCGATAATCCGACAGGCAAACAGATTATAGACTTACAGGTGTTCTTACGTTGAATATTCAGTACCATTTGGGATGCTTTATCAGAAAATTTACTTCTTATGGAAGTACAACTGAAAAGAATCCAGTTACAAAACATGGGAGAACTTTGAATTAAACGATATTTGATCTTGTCCAAAACTTTGGTATTTAGTATCATCGGTAGAACTCTTAAGTGAACGAAGTAGAACGGAGTCAAAACCGGGTTAATTATTTCATGAAATTCTGTAACAGTACCAAATGTGAACGTAAGCGGTTGCTGGTAGTGTCACAATCCGTAAAGGATAGAGTATGAGGGTCGTGGTGGCCAATTAAACCAATTTTCTTCTAAACACGCTCAGCTATTGCACGGAACTTCTGGTCTGGATTCCTTAAACCACGGGGAAGTTTTCCCAATATGCACGACACGTGCAAACCAAGAGGATAATTAATTGAATATTTTTAAACGCCAAGCGTCTTTAAAAGTTTTGATGAAAATTACATCGATTAAAGTGTGAAATATCATACGGGTAAAACTTTGAAGAAATATTTGCCGTAGCACATATTCAAGCGGTCATGTCCCTTTTGTTTCGGTACATTTCTCGCACCGTGTCTTGGCGCCAGGGCTGCCGGCAAGGCACCATTATCAGTGGTCAAATGTGTCACGCTCCTGCCTCGCCGTAGGTGTCAACTCCCCGGGCTCCTGGCCAGACATGATCGGATTATCATTTATTTTTATTAATTTCGATAACAGCGTTCGATTAAGACGATACTTGCGGCATTTTGTTTGCTGATGTCTACTTGGGTCTTTCAAGGATTATCGAGCCAAAATAGGGTTCTCCGAACTGTGTCTCATCCTCCGTGTCTTATTTTCGAATCACTCTTTTGTTGTTATCTGTCAGGTTACCTCTTGCACACACTTACATATCAGTAACAACTTACGGCAAATAGAGACGGCGCAATTGGCGAAAAAAAGAGATAAGGAGAGGCGGGAGAACAAACGAGTTGATGTGTTCTCGAGAGATTAAGGGCGATGAAGAGACTAGTAGGAAAAGGTAACGACCAACATAAAATTCAGAATTAAAAGGTGATCATCGATGGCGTAATAAAGAGAACAGGTAAGGCTTAGCAAACACTTAAGGAAACGATCGTTACTCTGAAGTGGTGCTCTAGGACCTCAGCTGGCAATTGCGGTAGCTGAGGGGGGTTCGTTCGCAGCCCATTGCCACCGCTACAAATTCAAGAGCGTTACTCACAAGTGGCATGTTGCCATCCTATGTAAATGCTTGTTGTTACTTTGTCACTTCTTTCAAGTTTAAAGGCGCATTGGAAATGGGGATTTTGTGAAAGAAACACAGCATGTAAAATCGTATGTTAGGGAAGGCTCCAACACCAGGCCTAATCACCAGATGCAAAGAATGTTTCAGACGTATAGGCACAATAAATAAATAAATTAAATAGATAAATAAACGTTTGGTAAAGCACAATATGATTACAAATACTGAAGAAGGCTGCACAATATTAAGGTTGAAAATTCGAAATGCTATAAAGTATATACAGACTACATAACTTTTTCCGCTTACTTTGCATGACTGTTGCGTAGGCATCTTGTACAAAATTCAGTGGTTCAAATTTTGTGACAGATCTCCATTATCATCACGAATATGAAAGCCTCATACCTAAAACTTAGAGGGTAAACCATTTTACATATTTATCTATAATGGGATTTAAACCAATCCCAACAAGCGAAGTGAGAACTTGCAGAATCCTGATCATTAAAACACGTGTATTCACAAATCTCATGATGCCCTTGGACTTTGGGAAAGAACAGATCAACTGAGGGAGAGACGAGGTGGTGCTACCGAAACAGAAGTGCTCAAAAATATATATGGCAACACTTTAAACTTTTGCATATGCTTTCTCAATCATTAGCATTTCTGATCATTTTTTGAGGAAATAACACAAACAACGTATGTGTTCTTTTATATATTTGTGCATTATTCAAAAGTTTGTCAGTTTTTAATATGATACATGCATTCATTTTTCATGGAAACTGTTTTAAGAGTCATTCCATATCATTTTTTACTATTTTAAGTTACTACATTTCCAATCAACTTCTGTTGTTATAACTGCGTCTGAAAACATCTATTACTTGATGGTTTCTATTGAATTCTTTAATTTGTCTATAAGGTCTGGCATAGTTAACATATCTGAAGAGTTGGAGTAAAGTGACTGCAGTTCAAAGAGAGGCTCTTCTTCCAGTGCCTAAGATAAAAAGCAATAAAAACAGCATATTATATCTTATGTTAATCAGTACATACATTTAACACAAAGAATTAATAGTATTCTCCAAAACTATGTTTTATTTGTAATCAACAAAAATTTTGACACAAGTTCTGAAAAGTGAGAGGACATGATGTCAGAGAGTACAAGTTGGTAAGTAACAGAAAATGACAAATCCTTAAAAAGAAAAAGACTGAAATGAAGGGGGGGGGGGCATTTGAAAGGTTCAAGTTATTGCACATATTTGGAAAAAAAAAAGAACTTACATGTACAGCAATATTACAGATGATCCCTTCTGCTTCACATCTTATTAAAAAAAGCCTAACTACAAACAAATCTCATCATTCTAAGGTAAAAATATGTAATGATAAACCCCTTACCTTTTTACCAAGCACTATGGCATAAGGAAACCCAATCCTCCGCATATTTTTTAAGCGTTTTCCTATTGATAGTTGTATTTTGTCGTGCAAAACTATCTCCCCCCTTAGGTGTGGTATAGAATTCAGCTGGTCATAGAGCTGTTCTGCAAGGGCCCAAGTTACATCTGCCTTGTATCCTGCCTGAAAAGATGAATTAGTCCTGGTCAAACACCACTAATTAATTTTGATAGCCTGACCACTGTATGAGCTCTAATGATGCTGTAGTAATAAGTTGTTTGTGAGAAGGTGACCATGTCTTATGCTGAGAACATTCTTCATTCACCATTCCACAGATAATGACGAGCAACTGAACCAATTGCACTGAGAACTGTTACATCTGGAGAAAGTGGGTGACCAAAACTCCTTTTGTGTCTCACTTTGCTGCCGGTGCATCACAAAGGCTGGTGAAAGCAGTTTTGCAGCCACTGCACCAAAATAGACCTGGGCTCCGTATCTCGAAAGGTTTGCTATGTTGCGCATGTGCGCAAGTGTCTGGATTCCATAACCAATTCTTTTTCGAGATACGGGGCCATGGAATCAAGACGCTTGCGCACGTGCGCAACATAGCGAACCTTTTGATATACGGAGCCCTGGTCTTTGCAAATAGACAGATTTAGCTTACCATCAAACACATCAATGAGCTCTGGAAATCAATGCCCAAGTACTTATGTTGGCAGTCAAACCTGGCTGTATAAAACATATGCATCAACTCTTTTTTTTTCTTTCAGAAACACTTGATGAAATACTTACTTTCTGAGGTATAATGCACACTTGATATGGAGCGATAAGCTTTGGCCACACTACTTGGATATCTGATGAGAGATGTTCTATGGATGCTTGTAGAATTCTGCTGACTCCTAGGCCAAAACAGCCCATCTCTACCAGGCTGAAAGAAAAGCCAGATGGCATCACTTGCAGGCCATTAGGCAGGTGAATTCAGGGAGGTTTGAAGAATTACCCTTTTGGCTGGGAAAAGGGTATGCTTTGACTTAAATGCAGAGCATACAATAAGAACTGACAAATTCCAGTGGTTGATTTTTTTTTTCAGAGGAAAGAACCAAAGCCTGCAAGCTTTAAGTGCAACACAAATGTTTGATATTCATGCCTCACCAGGTGACAAAACTGCAAAACCCGAGTCAACAGTTACTTGTCAGAAGACTGTTACATGATGACTTGCCAATCAGATTGATGAAACCGCATTTGAAACCTTAATTTGGCAGCAAGCCAATAAAATTGCTCTTCCAGTCTCCAATGATTACCTCTTGGTTCAGATGACAAATTTGGAATGCAATAGGTGATAGGTTATGTAGAATTATAAACTGAGTAGCAGTACTTTCTGATTTTAACCGGTGGCATGAGTTTAGAAATGACTGCTGAACAATGAGAATCAGAAAACCCACAAGAGAAGTTCGTTTGTTCACCTACTAGCAACATGCAGTCAGTAACTAATTCTGTCCACTGGGACACTTTGCATGATATGTACTGGTATACCAGTGAACTGTTATTTATTTATCTTCTCTCTCTAAAATTGGTTGCAATTGTAGAATTACAGTTGTGAAACATTTAGTATTCAACACATGAACTATTCAACTTATTTTGTCCTATACTTACTGTTTCTGACCTTCAACATAATTATAGTGGAGATTGAAAGGCTCAGAATATTTTGTTCCTAACAAAAATGTGTGTCCAACCTTAAAATAAAAAGTAACCCATGAATAAAGCAGAAGAGCCATAAACTTTTTTCCAAGAATATACTTAAAAAATAAAGCAATCTGTGAAAAAATTCACTTTTTAAATTAAACTTTCAAAAGAACCCTTGACATGATTATTCTTTACAAAATGTAGATAAAATACATAGATTATAATATATTAAAGTACCAAAGTGAATGTTCCCTACATACAAGCATATATTTTCGGTACTTTAGCATATAAACATACAGTAATGACTAAAATATATACATATACAGTAATGACTTGATCTTGTCAATGGGGAAAACAATCAATCTTTTAGTAAGTTAAACATAATTTTGGAATCGATAAAAAAATACATCTGTGCAACACTTGTGGTGCTTTTACTGTATAGATTAGAAATAGAAGGTAGCCGGTTATTCAGTTTTGTTGCCCCGAAACAATGGAAATGCTCTGATTTTAATAATAAATGACTTCTAAAAAATACTTTAGCTATAAAATTCACAGTTTTTCCCCACTGAAAAGAACAAATCATTGCTGCAGTTATTAAGTTCAATTTCCAATTTTGAAACTTCAGGCCAGCCAACAGGACCATTATACTAGATGAGGGACATTTGTTTTTGTACGTTTGGTTTGTGAAACTTTATATAATATAAAAAAAAAGAAAAGAAAACACAGACCTCTATTCCTGAGCTTGTTTTTAAATCACAACAGTCTCGATGCTTACAGTGATTGGTTTGCAAAACATCCTTATCTGCAAAGGAAAAGAAAATGTTGAAATAAATTCCAAAAGTATCTGTTACATTAACAGTTGAAATGAAATACTTAGTTTAAATGAGAAAACTTTTAAATTGCAATAAAGGCAACCTTATTTTAATACAATAAATTTCAAAATGTTTAGTATATTGAGACTGTTTGTGTACAGCACAAGATTTAGCGTACTGTGATTTTTCTTGTACTGTGATGTTTAATCTTTTGTAAGTTTTTTTTTTTCGATTAAATCTGCAATAAAAAATTGACAATAAAAATATTTATATGACAAGAGATTTGTTAAACTGTTGTTTACTCACCCATTACTTCTTTATTAACTCCAATCCCACACCTTAATGAAGTATAAAATAAAATGTAAGCAAAGTTATACAAATATTCATAATTTTTGGCCTCCTGTGAATGGAAAAAGGAAAACAACCTTGAGTTTTTCAGGCTAAGGTTAGCAAACAGTCTTGTCTGTTTCAATAAAATAATAAATTGCTTAAGAAAAAAATATTTCTCACATTACAATATTAAACAATACTGTCCATCAAATTTCTCTGCCAGAAAACTACATAATATTATTGAGTCAGATTCCTATAAAAATTGTTTGCAAATAGTCTCAATTTTTAAAGATAGTAATGGGAATTGTCTGAAATACTCCAAAAGTCTTGTTACTGAGCCTAAAATCAAGAGGGTTTTGACAGGATTTGGAGGAGAGTAGAATCAGAAATAATGGCAGACTAAGCATGTGCTTAATGGTTATGAATTTAAGCTGAAAATTTTCATTAATGAATATTCCATGAATATTTTTCCTAGTTCTTTTTTCTTTTTTTTTTTTTGTGTGTCACTTTTGTATTGCTTCTTAAACATTCTCAGTGCATAAAGTTTTAACTGAAGAGTTAAAGTCATAATAATTCTTCGTTTTGGCTAAAAATTGGATTTTCCTGGAGTAAACGGCAATTTTCCCGTACTCACCAATGGTCAGCGACCCCATTCCCGCATTCAAAGTTAATCCAGGGTTTTTTTCCTAAACGTACAGTTTTTTGATAAAATCTCTTAAGTGATTTTAACTGACGGAGCCCTCTCTAACATAGCATATCGAGTGGGGTTTTCTGATGACCTACTTAAAACCGCGGGAAAAGCAGACAACAACAACACTTTATTGCAATAAAATAAGATTCATACCATATAATCGTCTTAATTGCTCATATTCACAACAGTTCTGGGCTTTTCGTTATGCGACACACTGTACAAAAACTCGCAACTTACGTCTGAGGATTGTGTCATGCGCCTGTGTTATTTTGGTCTCGACTGCACGCGAGAATCCGCGTGATGCGCCAAAATCCTTGGCAACGAATGCCTTGATGACCGGGGAAAAAAGGCACCGAAAGCCCTATTGACAAGCACAGTTTTTAGTTTTACTACAATAACAGCCGTTTTAGTGGTGAAATGCAATATAATATATTTCCGTGTGTTGTTTAGAATGTATTTCTTGCGGAATTTTGAATCTCAAAGGAAGAGTTATTATTGCTTTAACCCTACCTCATGCAGATTCTAATCTCTAATGACATCAGGCAGTGCAGACTTTTAGTCTAGCTTGGATGACATCTATTTCACGTGATTCTTGGACATGTCCCAAATCTTGCCAAACACATGGAAAAATTAATTTGAATGAAATACCTGATTTGAAGAAGAAGATGGTAACACAGCATTTATAACACTTACTTGTTACAAATAAAGAGAGAATCTTGGCCTGCACTGGCAGGAATGTGGTACTCATGTGATAAGGTGCCTCCAATAACACCAGTTGCCCCCTCCACTGAAGAAAAAAAAAGGAAGGAAAAACAACTACACACCTTGGCAATGCTCAAGTCCCAATGGAAATGTTGAAGACACAAACTAGACAGCAAAGACTGCATACATTACAAATAAAGAGAGAATAAATAAATTAAATATAAATAAAATAAATTTAAAATATATATGTAAGAAAGTCTTAGTTGGATACATGATCTCATGGTTTTTATTTTGAAAACATCTGAACTTTTCATGTCAACATATTCTCTCCAACTAATGAAAAAAATTGGAAGTGAAACAAAACTACAGTTTGGCAATTATGTTTCGAACAAATGTGTGTTGCAGGGTGATGCAGACACCTAGTATAATTTTTTAGTCTACAAATACACACCTTTTATAAAATTTACTCCTAGTCTAGTAAAGAGTCTATTGTATGCATCACATACTGAATTGTATGTCTCTTCTGCTTTTTCTACTGACTCATCAAAGGTATACAGGTCTGAAAAACAAAAAGACTATTTAAGTCAGATATAATATGGACATACACGGAAAATTGTGAATTAATTTTATATCACAGCATATACCATTTCTCTTAAACTTTGCACGCATAGATTTATTTGAACTTTTAGAAATCATTCATTTGGCATGCTGTATATTAAACCCGCAGGACTTTACCTTTCATATCAAACTCCCTTGATCTAAGAAGACCATACTTTGGAGCCATTTCATCCCTAAATTTCCTTGTTATCTAAAATAAGAATTTAAGACTCACCTGTCACTTAAGTCTTAAAATCAATTTTCACGTTTCAATTAATGTATCAATATTAACTTTTCTTATAAGAGCAAAAGAAAGAGGCTAGTTCATATCTGTTCACAATGTAATATATAATTTTAAAAAACTGATAACAATGATAACAGCACTGCTTTATCTCTTAAAAGTTTATAACAATAAATTAAAAATCATTAAATAAAAAATCATTAAATAAAGAAGCAGATCAAATGAAACTATGACTGAAAGAAAATGAACATTTATGCAACTTAAATGTACCTGATACAACTTGAGAGGAAGGTGTTTGCGCTCTAGCTTCTTCTGGCTCACAAGAAAAGTAACTGCTTCCTCGTGTGTCTTGAATGGACGAGCAGCATACAAATAATTGAAGAAATTATATTAAATTGGCTAATTTAATAGAATGAGACCCTATCTCCATTACTTCACCAAACAAAATGTGAGGTATGTAGTATATTTTCATGAGCTGAATTGAATATTGATTTTGGTAAGTCATCTACAAGTTAATACTCACAGGACCAAGACAAAACATCTTTTTGTGTCTGTCTGGTAGTTTCAGCAATTCAGAACCCATAGAATCCCATCTCCCTAAAACCAACAATACCAGGTAATAAAACAATGCATCATTTTTATGATCGTATATAAAATAAAAAGTTACCAATTCATTGATTTCTAATTTCAACATATTAAAATGTCTATTCTGATCATATCAAAAGTTTTAGAACAGATTTAGAACTGTTCCTTTGGAAAACAAGATTAAGCAAGAAAAATCATTCTTGACTAAAACAAATCTTTTCCATGTCTGCTTTCCCTGGAAAATATCAGAAAAGAAACCTTTGATCATTTATCATGGGACCCAACACCCAACTGACTGGGGCTGCCTTAGAATTGAATTTTCCAAAGAAAAAGCTCATGTCTGGAATATACACACCCGTTTTTTTCCACAATTCAGCTGGGGTCAAACAAGTCATTGTCATCTTTTGAGCACCTATGCTTTCCATTTCCTGGTCTATCAGCCTAATCAGTTTATCTAGAGCTCTCTGTGTCCAAGGCAGCATGTAGAACAATCCGGTTTGTACACCAAATATCATTCCATAGGATTTCATGAGCTGCAATACATGAATGGATCAAACTTAAATGTATACAAAGTTCATATGAAATTCAGCAATGAAAAAATCTAGCTGACTCAAGAGAAGTTTCAAAGAAAGTTACGAATACATTCTCAAAAATTTTGCAACCATGTTAAATGAATTTTTTTACAGATGTTTATATACTTAGCATTAAAAATAGCATGGGCCAGACAATAGGAATACTTCAGGACAGGTTCTTGATATTTATATACATTTTTCACATACCACTTATCCACGTGACTTAAAATTGTTTACAGCAATTAGCAAGTCGTTGAATATTGCAGTTACTATCATTAGTATAATAATAATAATAACAGAAAAAAGCAAAATCCATAACTGAATATAAAAGTTACAGTTACAAAGTTTAAGCTATTTTCTGACCAGTGAATTTTTATTAATAATATTATATATTGAACATACTCTATGACTGTTGCAGGCCAGGTTCTTTTCCAAGTTTGTCTCATTTTCCTCACCCTTGTTAACATACATGTTCTCCACAGGTTGATACATTCTAGATATGCACAGACGATGGTAGAGGGTACATCTTTGAAAACTCTTGGTAGACAAGGGCTTCAAAAAGTTGGTGAGCTGTAAAAGTGATGTTGATATGAAACATGGTCAAAGAAGAAATCGATTCTAATGAGACTAGACATGTTTTTTTTTAGCTGTGAGACAAGAAATGTGTACCTTCCTCAAAGAGCACTGATCGCATGGCTGAATGCAATCAGACAGGCATCCTCTTGGCATTGAATGGAGTACAGAAAAGCTGGTGATCATACAAATACCTTGGAAACAGAGGAATTTTGTTAATCTATGGCCGGAGCTGTATCACAATCACTGGGGATGAGTGTTTGCCTCAGTTTTCGGACTTACATGCAAGGTTCTTACAAGGACCCACAGTTACCCCAGGATTTGGATATTTACAGCCGTAGAAATTTCTAACACTGGGTGTTATGAGGCCTTACCTGCGTAGAATGTAAGGCCGAAAACTTAGGTAAGACCAGTGTACGAAAGGTTTACTTTACCTGCCTTGGCTTTAGACTGCTTTACATGTATGTCGACTTAAAATATACAAATGCCAAGGGCTTTCAGTTTGGGTTTCAATACATTTGATGATTACCTTTGAACCGATGGGGGAGTTTTGGTACATTATTTTGATTGCCATGTGTATCCCTTCAGTCCAGTCTGCTACTTTCACGCTTTCTCATTTCATACACATTTCAGCTTCGCACAGATGATGACGATGAAGTATGATTCGTCAAAAATCTCAATGACCTTCACATTGAAAGTGTATCTATTACATTCCTAAATAATACCTCGTTATGATGTTTGATACATCCTTTCTGATAAGTATGGTTTTAAGAGCGAAAAAGAGGCCATGCATAGAAAACAGGTTAGCAGACCAAGCAGCAATCATGCCGTCAGAAAGCGAAAAGATGGGAGAATTTCAAGAGAAATTAGATACTTTTATCAATGATTTGAAGCAAGGGTAAGGGTCAGAGATTACGTAGAGACAAACAGTAAAATATAGAGGAAGTAAACAGTTGTGTAAAGGCGCAGATCTCACTTGACTGGTTGTAAATTTAAACCATCTGTCACTCGTCAGTAGAGTCAGTGTCGTTTTTGTGACAGGAATTCAATACTAGTGTAGCATCAGTAGTAGTTAACAGCTACAGGAACCGTAGTCAAGTCCCCGTCGATTTGTACGAGTGCCAATATACTTACCCTATATACTACCGGTTAATCCTAATCACATGGGACCCCTGGCCTAGAACTATCATTCCTGTCACACTCCACTCGCTTTACAAAACGGTCATCCTTTGAGACTTTAAAATATTATTATTATTAAACCTTAATAATATTAGTCTGTTAATTTATGTGCATTTACATCGTTCTCCAATATCTTAATTAAACACTAAAAAATGAAAATCCTGATTATCTTTTAAAAGTGAAAACATTAGAAATGTACCAGTACTGAGTATATATATTTGTACTGTACATGTACTTTTATACCTGGTACATTCCACTTTTCCACTGTTCTAGGCACATCCAAGGTTCCTATACAGTTGCACACAACACAGTTCACATATTGAGAGGAATTATTTCCAATATGAAATGGAGAAATGCAAGGTATTGTTTTTTCAAAATGAATTTGCATTGGCTTTATTAACTAAAGCTGCATAACTACATATTGTGTGTGTTTCAAATGCTTGAAATTTCAGTGTAAAGAAAAAATTATGAGCACCTGATTAGCTATTGAAGTATGCCATCTATATGTAGTAAGCAAGCATTTTTTTTTTGTTTACAGTGAAGTAATGAGCCTAATTTGTAAGGAGGGAAAGAAGATAATAGATGCGCAACCTTCTGAGTCTGCTGCGGGAAATATGGTGAGAAGAGGTAGGTTAAGTGTCAAGTTGTCAAGAATGCAGGATAAGTAATGCATGCTCATTTAGCACCTACTTGAATTGATACAAATTTTAACTTAATTTTGAGCATTTGGAAGAAGATATTGTTATTATTTTTTGGGGGGTTACCATCCATATGCTTTTTGAATATAAGTGAAATTGTTGCCTTTGATGGTTGTCAGGTTTGTTATATTCACTGCATTTGAAATAGTTAAAAATATTAGTTAAAGATGTATGTATAATATGGTATAAGCTCTGCGGGTAACTTTTTCACATTTCTCATTACATTTTGTCTATCAGAACTGCACATTATTGGAAAGACAATGATTTTGACAACAGACATACTCCAGTTTAGAAAATTCTTCAACATGCTCGGTACATATGAAAAGGGTAAACAGATGTGTAATAAATAGAAAGCTAGGGACTAACATAATCCATCAAAGTTACAAATCATTAAGCAGCCAATAAATGGTAGATTTATTTCAAATTTTAGTTTTGAAGATTATAAGGGAAGAGTCTGCTAGGTAAGTTATAAATTTCATATGTAAATTTTTAAATGCTTACATGTTGATATTTGGAAATTTTTATTTTTGATTGTTGCTGCAAATTGTTTACATATGTTTTATAGATAATCGCAAAGAAAGCAAAGACATGTATGCATGCACTCTCAAAAGTGTGTTGGGTAAGTTATGGAAACCAAGTTTACATTGATTTATTAAATTTGTATCTTTCAGTGTCAAAGGAAAACATGAAGATGGGGAAGCCCAAGAATCATTACATGTAAATACAGTTTCTATATTTTGTGACATGAATACATCAGTTATTAGATCATGTCAGTCTTTTTAAAAATCTAATTGTGTACCTTACATATGTCCGCAACAAAGAATAATTGCAAAAATGTTAATCTTAGGCAGTATTGAATTTTTCCAACTTTCAACAGATTTTTGACTTTTGGGAGCCAAAAATATTATTTTTGAAATAGATGCAGAGGGCCACCTTGGATCCCATGCCATATTTTCAGAATTTCTCACTAAATGGCAGTCACATCCATGCATAAGATGTCTTATCTTTCAATTTTATACTTCAAACTTATGTGTAGCAGCTGCATTCTGTTTTTTAAGTTGGTCTTGAATATATTTTGATGAATTTTCTGTTACAGAACCTCTTACTTGCAGAAGGACAAATTGATTATTCACACATTGGCTCTCATAGTTTAAAGGCAAGTGTTTAAAATCAACTTGGGTGTATTTTCTTTTTTAAACCTGTAGTTGCAATCTTTTGTAATCAATGTTTCTTTTTCTTTTTTTTTTGCATTCAACATGAGATGAAAAAACTGATATGTGCTACATAATTTAATTGCCATATAATCAGGTGCAGTATGTTATTGAAGGCTTTTAATACAGTCTTTATAGATTTGAAAGATTTAGGAAAAATGACTTTAAAAAAATATGTACCTATTTTGATCCTAGTAAATCTGTAGTAGTCTAATAAAATGAAAATGTGAGATTGTTTTATAACTAGAAAAAAAGGCTACTCTGACAGTTACTCTACAGATTTATACTTAGCTACAGATTTATACTTAAGTGTGTTTAAGTTTCATAGATAATTGCTATATAATAATTTTGGTATGAAATTTGAGACTAGCTATTGATCTGAAGTTCTCATGTAAATCTGGTTCTTGTTTTTAACTTGTTCTTTAGGTTAAAAACAGAGTCTTAACTCATCTATCTTTATTACAGGCACCTCTCATAGAGGCCATAGGGGAACTTATTACAGAACTTGAAACAAGGTAAGAAAACTTGAAAGTAATTTTGGATTTGTAAAACCACCATCACTGTCGGATTAGCATTGGTGATCAAATATAATAATTGCTTTTGTCAAAGTTATTAAAATCTTAGACTGGATTCCCATCCCTAGATCGATCTAAAAGGATCGGTCCATCTCCACGGGGTTTCCTGCTAAATTGCTTTCTGCTTAAGTGGCGTAAATGTCTGGGACACCTACTAAAGCTGCTAAACGATAGTTAATTACACCCTATCAGCTTCAGTAGGCATGACAGACATCTAAGTCGCTTAAGTTAATTGCAGTTAAGTGAGAATCCCCTTGGAGATAATTTGATCCAAAGTTAGTACGAATAGTCTCTAGGAATGGTATCTTATTTTCTATTTCAGTGCTGATAACATAGCTGTACAGGCATTGGAACATATCCATGCCAACGAAATTGTCTTGACTGCTGGCAAATCAAGGACTGTAGAAGCATTTTTAGTGGTAAGACATACATAATGCTGATTACACATGCGTTTGCAATTAACTTTGTAATGTTATATATATATATATGACATTTATATTTTTAGTCTTTTGTGATTACAATGTGTAGATTGTGAGATTGTGATTCAGTATATACCTGGAGGTAAATAAATCATAGAACTGAAGTGTAAAAAATGATTTGATTTATCATATTCATCAAATGAATATTCTCAGAAACAACATATTTCTTCTTAAGGAATTTATATTATAATTATCTTTTTAAATTTAAACTCCAGAGTGCTGCGAAAAAAAGACGGTTCCAGGTAATTGTTGTTGAATGTGCTCCATTTTATCATGTAAGTAGAAATTTTATAAATATCGTATTTATTTACTTTTTTTTTGTCAATAGTTTAAGCTTTCAACAACTTTTTCATGATGTTCAACTGTGAGTGGTAATAACCTTATTAAATAACTAAATTAACTACACATTTATTAAAATCACAGTAATTTCTTGTCACATATATTTGTCCATTGTTTATAGACCTACTCATTGAATTATGAGTTGCTGTAATTTATGTTGGGTTATACTCCATGTAATTGCACTTTCAGTATTTTTTGTCTAATAATATGATTATTATAAATTGTCAAATCTAGTGGAGAAGGTCAACAAATATGCCAGTTGTATGATTTTGCTCAATAAACATTATTATTTTTTTTTTATTATTAAAGGGTCAAGAGTTAGCAGTTAAACTTGCCAATGCTGGAATTGAGACAACAGTAATCACAGATTCTGCCGTGTTTGCAATGATGTCCAGAGTCAATAAAGTGATCATAGGAACACACACAGTCATGGCTAATGGAGGGTAAGGAGGAAGATCCAAATACTTCAACACTCTTTCCACATCATGTGGTACACTTAAAGGAAACAATCTGTACTGGTATGCTTTAAGAGGTCCTTACATGTTATGCTAAGGGGGGGGGATTGCTCACGTTTACATTGTTCTTCATTCTGTTTGGGCATAAATTGATTAATTGAATTTATGTTGAGCATTTGGGTGACAGAATCTGTGACCGAGGCCTGTTTCACAAATGAACTGAAGTCCAAAACTTGGTCTGAACTTTCAGACCAAAATTGAATGATACTTCTGAATCAGTAGTAGTAGTAGTAGTAGTAGTAGTAGTAGTAGTAACAGTAAAAGTAGTAATAGTAGTATTAGTAGTAGTAGTAGTTGCTGTTGTACAATAAAATGAAATGTTTCACTTCTTTTATGACAAGGAAAACATTCAAAGACCATTATGGATTTATGTTAAATAGAAAAAGACCTATTATTTTGTCTGTAACTGTTTCTTTAACCAGTTTGTAGGGCTTTTGTTTAGTTTTTTAATGAACTGACCTTTGAAGTCATTGTGTTTACAAATTACATACAATATCACTCTAGTTGTAGAGTACTAGAAAGAAAAAAAAAAAAAAACGGAAGAATATAAATATAATATGAATATAAGCATTATATCCATTTCCTTTTCAGGTTAAAAGCTATAAATGGTAGCCATGCTATTGCATTGGCAGCAAAACATCATTCTGTTCCTGTAAGTTGGCAGTGTTGTTTACAATTGAAAATAAAAATCAGTCCCTGCAAGGCAACTCCTAAATTAGAGCAGTAACTCAATTTTAAGGAAGTTTGATCAGTAAATATCCATTTGTTCTTCTTTATTGCTTGTTTTTATTTGAAACATCTAGATGATGATTTTTTTTTAATTTTGCAAAATGTTTTATGCTAAACATCTTTTTCTTTCCAGTTAATTGTGTGTGCACCAATGTTTAAATTATCTCCTCAGTACCTTTGTTCATATGACCAAGTGAGTAACTTCTCATGGTTGTTATTAAGTTCAAAAAAATATAGAAAAATTAGATTTGATTGTTGTATTGAAAGAATAGGTGATTTCATTACTATTAATGTTTACTTTTACCTTCTTAAGGTAAAACTTTTTAAGGTTTTTTCACTAATTATCAGAAAAAAAACAACAAAATCTGGGTGCCATTCATTACACAAAATAATATTTTCACTTTTTTATTTAGGATGCCTTTAACAAGTTTGTGAGTCCACATGATGTGATGAAATTTTCAGAAGGGGAAATTTTGTCACATGCCCAAATACAGAATCCAGTATTTGATTATGTGCCACCAGAACTTGTTACACTTTTTATTTCAAATATGTAAGTATAAAATGTGATGTGCTGCTGTAGTTCCTTTTGACAGTTTTCGGCTTGTAACATAACACAGAAGGGGGGAGGGGGACGCATGAGATCTTCATTGTGCAAGTCTTTTTTTATTTTTGTTTCTTTCTTTGAAAAGAACCATTTTCAATCCATTTCAGTGGAGGCAATGCACCATCTTATGTGTATAGACTTCTGAGTGAACTGTACCATCCAGATGACCACTACTTGTAGGCAACGAACTGAGGCAGTGGATATTAACTTTTATCTTGATGTCTCACAAGACTTTTCCAAGATGCTAATCGTGGAACCTCAAACATTTTTACAGAGTATGATAAAAATTGGCATCATGTTGGGTTAAGGTTACTACTTTCCAATTTTTTATGCATTAAATTGAAAGGGAAAGCGAATAAAAAGATCCAATAAAATAAGTGTTTATTGGTCAATTGTGAGATTTATATCTAACTAGACCTTTTTTTTTCTTTTTTGAAAACTTAAGTTAGATACAACTTATGAGTGTCTTCTATAACACCTCTCACAGTTTTTAAAAACACCTTGGTACACACACCACTGCAAAATTGGCTCTGGTGAAATTGTGCACTGCACAATTTAAAGTTAAAACTAAATGCATACAATATATTTAGAGTCAAACAAATGCAGCAGACATAGTAAAAAGGCTAAAAACAAAAAACTTCACAGAACGGCATGTCCAAACCACAACATGCAATTACAAATGTTTACAATAGATGAAAGTTTCTGTTAAAAGCAATAATTTAAATGAATTGTTACATATATTACATCCTATCTACTTATAAAAAGTACTCATTTTTTTTAAATAATGAAATTGGCTTAAGAGTGCACAGACTCTAAAAGATTCCTACTAACAGATTGATAGTAAAATGTACAAACTTCCCTTCAACAAATAACTGGTAAAACTGTCATGTACAAAAGTACACTTCAAATGGGTTTAACAAAATAAAATTATTTGAAAATTCATCACCATTTGGCCTTGCCAAGCAAAACATCGAACTATTTGGCATATTCATTGGCAAATAAATGGAAAAAGTTTGTTATTAACATTGAAGCATATTTCTAAAAAAATATGCTTATCTGTAATTGTCTATTGACTCTGTGCCAATTCAATTAATGCAAGAGCTCCCAACCACTTGTCCTTTTGATCGTCACTCATCTGACAGGTTTCATTTTCTTTTCTCTTTTTGATGACCCGTTCATCACTTGTTTTTGCCACTTGGTCTAAAAGTCTTTTTAACTGCCTGCTACTTGAATACGAAACAGTTGTTTCATTGTTTCTGGATTCTACATGCCTGAATAAAAATAAATAAAAATAAAATTAATATCTAGTCAAGCATTTACTCGCAAACAGGTAATTAAATTTTGAAAATATATTTTAAAGCTTGTGCTGAATTTATTAATAACATGAAACTAATTTTCACAAAAGATACCTTTTGAGCCAATCTTTAACTTCATCCCTTAGCCCTTCCTTCTCCAGTATTGTAAGGTCTGTGGGTGCTCTCCTTAATGGCATGTTGGGGTGATCTTGGCAGTGTCTATTGGCGTGCGTAAATCTGCTGGAACATCCTAAGCAGAAACAAGTATTTTTAACATTAACAAAATATAATTGTAGTCTTTTATAAGAAAAAACGAGTTTTTGGTATATTAGATGCAGTTATCAAAGGAGGAAGAAAAAGGAACTCGTTAGTTTTTGAAAGACTAGTCCACCTTTTCCCCAATAATACTGACTTACTCCAATATTAACTGTTCTAGTCTAAATTAAGCAGACTCCAGTGTTCAATGGAGACTATTTTACCTCTGGTCCCATAAGTGAGGTTTAAGTGAAAACAGAGATAAGAAAATAAAAATATTGTAATTTCTGAGCAAGTGTTGTCACTTCATCTCAATGTTCGATGTATTTTTATTTATTAATATAAGAATATTGGTATGTGAATAAAAAAATCTCATTAATAGTAGACACTTCACCAATGACTATTTGAAAAATGGAACTGACACTATTTTCAAAAAACCTGCTCCAACACAAATAAGAAAAATTATAATAAGGCAAAATTACCTGACTGAGAACATTCAAATGGTTTTTCTCCAGTGTGAAGACGTTGGTGTGTTTTCAGCTGCCCACTTTGACAAAATGCACGTCCACAGCCAGGGTAGTCACATATGTAAGGGCGTTCTCCTGTAAATTTATAGTTCTCTTTAATTTACAAATAGTAACTTCAAAATGAAATGTTACCATGTTTATTAAAATATATAACTGTTAAACAGAAATAAATAAAATAAAAATTCTATAATAAATAATAAAAACGAAGATTTGAAATAAATATTTGTGAAGGCAAAATAAAAGGGCATTTACCAAGAACTGACATCACTTAAAAAGTGACACTGTCGATTTCTCTTAAAAGTCATTGTTCGTTTAAAAATGGCGCGCCAATGGTTAAGCTTGGCATTTAATTTTTCTAAGTCTAATGCGCAAAAACGTTAAAAAGTATCCTGGACTTGTGTAGCTAAATTAAAAAATGTAATTTTAGCTAAAACCTTTGTCTAACAAGCTATGACTTTTACCTGAGATGTCAGGAAAATTTGGCGGACTGTCAGTAAGCGGTTCGCGTGACCGCCCAGTTAAAGGCCCAGTATAATATTCTTACCTGTGTGGGTTCTCAGATGAGCTTGCAACGATTTTTCTCTCGGAAAAACCCGATTACAAATCTTGCACTTAATCTGATTTGGCGATGCAGGACCGTCAACCACCAAAGTGTGCAAAGCGTCAGCCCTGGGCCTTCCTCGACGAAGTATTTCTTTATCTCTGTCCCCCGCTTCAGGCGATCCACATGAACTTGAAGGACTCAAATTAATTTTTGCTGCCCCAACTCCCCAATTCCATGGCATCATCATCATGTCCCGAAAAGGTGGACTTCCTGGCACATTTTCAATGCGTATGGTGAGTTTGCCATCCCTTTTTGGCGAAGAAAAAGCCGGACTGGTCTGAGCGTTTTGCGCCATTGCTACCACCGTAAAAATTTCTGGAGGGAAGTAAACTAAACGTATTTTCGCGGCATCTCAGGCATCATGGGAACGTTTAGTTTTTTTGATAAGTAACCACGAATGAATAATTTAGGTTTTTTTAAATAGCTTGTGTACATTTTATGGAAGTTTTGATGATTTGAATGGCTGGGCAATTTATTTCGAGAAATTTTGTTTACCTGAGCTCGCGCCTTATTTGGTTGTAGTGACGTCATTTTGGCTCGAAATCCCAGCATCCATGTAAACACGCCATATTGGAAAACATTGACAGGACTTGCAGGAGTACCTGCCTGATAAACATCCATTGTCATCCTCTAAAAAACGAGGAGCAATGGCTACCACCTACGGTATAGAGGTGAAAAATAGGTTTGAGTTGGTGTTAGATGATGAAGATGACCCGTTCGAGATTTTAAAGGAACAAGAGGAGCAAGCAAAGAAGAAGGATGGCGACAAGACGAAGAAAAACGCCAAAAATGAGAAAGCCAAGTCTGCGAAAACAAAGCAGAATAAAAAAGCTCAGATAATCGAACCTGAACCTGCAAAACCAAAACAAACAGAGCATGTTGGTGGAAGGAGAGAAGGTATTAACCGTGCAATACATAAAAATCATTTATTTCTCACTCACTGTAAAATGATTCTGACATAATGGGAGGCATTGAAAGCGAAAATGCTGCAAATGCAGTAATGAAAGTGTGAGGATGACACCCGTCATGACTGAACTGCCATTATGAGTTGAAAAATGAAGTTGTTGCAGTTTGTGTCTATTACACGAGTATTGATATTTTCTCTTAGGCCATGCGTTCAAGCTGACATGCTTTCACACAAAGGTGAATAACCACGTGGTTTGCTCACACGTGACTTGGTATCAGTGAAATTAATGGGTATTGCATGCAATTCTATTTTTTATTTGCATTGTATCTGCATTGATGAACACATGAATGAAAAATAAATGAAGGCCCAACCGTTTTAATGACTGGCCTAACTCGGACATGAGCACACTCATGTGGTAAAGTCTTAATATGTCAATTTCACATGTGCACATGGTGACTGACTGATTGAGTTGCAATGTTATATTATTATTATTTTATTGTAATGCAGACTTGATAAATGACATCATCTGTGCAATAAGCCCCACTACTTGTAGGACAGTCTAACAATGTTTAAGTGGATACCTGTCTCCAAAGCCACCAGAGCATGAAATTATTTACCATATATTAAACTGCTGATAAGAGAAAAATACCTCGGTAAAAGAAAATTCTTATTAGCCAGACTTTAGTAACTTCCTTGCAGGTGTTATAGTTAACAAGGAACTAGTGTAAAGCTGTTTTCTTCTGGCATACATTGTACTGTTGTTTTTAATGTGGTTATTTAAATTTTTTCAGTTAGAGATATAAGACGGATACTTTTACTGACATCCTGTGATTTATGGGAAGTCCTAATAAATACCTACACAACCCAGTGCATCCTTTTGTTTAGCAAAAGTATATCTTAAATGCCATTTTCCGATCTGGTAATTAATGTTATCCCTTTATGATTCAGAAAATCCACCTCCAAGAAGGCAGCGAGAGCAGTCCGCAAGGAACACAGATACTGACAGACCTCAAAGTGACAGACGGCCGCCTAGACAAAACCGTGGACCCAGACAAGACAGACAGAATGACGACTTTGCTCCCAGAGAACAAGGCTTTTCCTCAGGTGGAGAATTCCGGTAAGATTAAGATGTAGAAATGTTACTGGTGTGGTAATACCCAAATAAAATATATAGCTTTAAAATAAATGGCCAATTCATGTTTTTGTATTTTAAGATCTATGCTTGAGAAAGGAGGAAATTATAAGCTTGCAAACACCTAGTATGTTCTTTTTCTGATTTGATTAAATGGTTTAAAAGTGAGCTCAAAATATTTGCACTCTACAAAAATATTTAGGCTGAACTTGTAATTAGCATTTCTATTAAGAATTTTTTTTTTTTGGGGGGGGGGGATAATATCTTTCAAATAATAAGCTTGCCTTTGTGGATATTTAAAAAGTAAGTAAAATGTAAAAGACCAAAGTTTTTTTCCCCCCAACATTTTAAAGACTAATTTCTACAATTTCAGTGACAGACCAGAGAGTGGGAGGGGAGGAAGAGGAACGAGGAGAGGAGGTGGATTTGGACGTGGACGTGGCAGAGGAGGATTTGGAAAGCGTGAATTTGATAGACATAGTGGCAGCGATAAAACGTGAGTAGTGACTTCGTCATGATAGGTGTAAATAATATTGTCTGCATTTTAACTATGATGACATGAGATAATGTAACTTAGAAATTTGATTGAGAGCACATCATCAACCAAAGAAGCAAGGCTTGGAGCTTATTACTTCTCACTACTGTAATCAGGCATGAGATTTTTCCGTCTTTTGGCGGAATTCCGNCTGTAATATAATCAAGTGATGGTGAACTATAACTTGTTACAAACTCGAAGGGCCAAGGTTTTGTTCAGGGCTTTTGGTAATTGGGTCTTTTCAAGCAGTGACAAGTTTCCTTGGTCTTCCTCTGGCTTTGCATGTCTATTTGGTACTACTGTAAAATTTTTACAGACAAAGATTAAAAAAATAAGAAGAAAGTAAAAATAATAAATAAATAAATAAATAACTAAATTGTGGCAATTAAAGCAATCTATTGCAGCAATTGTACAGATTGATGAAATATACTAAGATATTTTCATTCACTATCTGTAAAACCTACAAAAACCACAATCAGTTATAATATTGAAACATATGTTCAACTTCAAATAACAAGCATCACTGGTGAGAATGGGTGGAAAAGTTTTTATATATGAATCAGACTGCTTTCGTTGTCTATTATTTTGCTTTTCGTTCTCCCAGTCATCTTATGCCTACTTGATTCATTCTTTTTTTCCTAGCAGCGGTGTTAAGCCTGTGGACAAGAGGGACGGTGGCGGAGCATTTAACTGGGGAACTGTCAAAGACGATGTAGAGTAAGTCAGTTGGGTGGAAACTGTTTATTGCATCTTGCAACTAACCTTAAAGATTTTTTTCAATGCAACTAATTAATCACCTCACCCTGACTGCAATGGATATGTACAAGACCCTGAAAATGTTTTACCCCCTGTTTGTACTCTAACAGTTGCCCAATACTAGTTTGTTTGCAAGAGAGTGTGACTTGAAGTGTTTCTGTGATGATTCTTTATAATCAAACAGTTTGCATGACGACAAACTCTTGCTTTACCGGAAACTGAGAAACACTAAATTCAGATTTTGCCTAGCACCTATGGTGTATCCAACATGTCTGATCTATTGATGATAATAATTGTTCGTCTAAGGCAGACTCTTTGTGTGTCAAAACAATTCAAATTACATGCTGAAAATTACAAACTGCTTATAAATAATAA